GGCAACAGCTAAAATCTTGTGCACAGTTAAATCCCATTGATTTTAATAGTAGGCTGGTGATTCAGAATTAAAACACACATGCACACGCACACACACGCACACACACAAAGCATTTGGAATTAAGACAGCTTAGGCTTTGGAGATGGAAGAGCAACAACGATTTGTGTTGGAAAGATCAGCCAAATACACTTAGCTCCCTGCTTTCAGACTAAGCCTTTGACACTGTGGAGTAGTGTTTCATATTTAATGAACTGCTTGTTCTCTGCTTCGGAGCATACTCTAATTATCTCACTAGCTGCAGTCTCCTAAGGCTTCTTAATTACCAGGAGTATATACGCTCAACCTTGTACTTTATGTAGATAGATGGTTCTCCCTTATTGTTTCTGCTTGGTATAGATCCCAGCTTGAGACAAGTCAAAACACAGATAAGATAAAAAGAGCTAAGAATGAAATGATTGGCCAAATTGGCAGCTGATGCTGATATTGTCTTGTTTTGCCAGACATTAATATTTCTCAGAAAATTCTGAAGCGATGGCTAACCTAACAGGTATCCATATAAAGACAATGTCTACAAAGATGTTTTACAAAAATAAAATGATTCAGAGCCACCCACAGCCTCAATAGCTAAAATAGTGGAGGAAATGGATAATGGATATCAAACACCAGGAGCCAGATAATTACTTTTCTAATTCAGGGATGAGGAAGTTCTAATTCAGCTGTTGTTAAGAGGCTGTTCCCATCATCCATGACCATTAGCCAGGTTGACAGGAGTTGGTAGAAACTGGAGTCCAATAACATCTGGAGGACCACCAATTTTCCAGTTGTATTTTAGTTGCACTGTTCTAAGTAAACTTTGGGTTTGTTTTTGAAAGGAAATCCATCTTGACATGCTACTTCCAAAGGTTACAGTTCAAACCAATACTTGCCTATTTATTCACTTGTACTTGTCCCATATAAATGGCTATAAATTGCAAATTGCATAGAGGAAGTTTGTCTGGAGGTTGAGTCATGGCAACTGGACTTCTTTTCTTTTTGGTTAGAGACATTTTGC